CCACAATCCGTTTGTAGAATTTTTCATAAATATAACTCCACATATCAGAACACGCTTTAGTAACCTACATATACATAGAGACACAACCTCTTTGTCTAAAAAGCTTCCAGATTTCCCATTTAGGGTATCTTTTATCTTCATCACAATCCCTAGAGTTATCTTTGGTGTTTCCCATTTTGGAAGTGATTTCAAGCATAAAAAGTTGTGTGTGGGCTCCCTGAAGGGAGTAGCCATGTCCCTTTTGTTCATTGTCCTATTCGTAGCCTGCAGCACAGTGCTTTGAACATAGTAGGGGATGTTCAGCCTATGTCGACTTCAAGATTCCAGAAGACCCAGAAAGCCTCTTATTACCCAAAAACTCCTATGGTGCTTCCAGAACACACCTCCCATTTTGGTCTGTTCTGTCTGTGCACCCTCCACACTTTCTTTCCCCAACTATCCAAGTCCTCCTTGTCAATTCAAGCCCCTCCAGGGAACTCCCACCACTCTTCTCAGTACCTCTCAATATAAGCCTTGTTATGACCACTCAGCACACATCTTATGTCTTTTAATGAATAGATCTGCATTTCTTAGAACACAAAGACTAAGTGTGACTTATCTTTGCATTTCCTATGATATACAGGACAAGTGCTTGAACCTAGGATACTGGGCAATAAATGTTGGTTGTCTGAATGGTTATCTCCCTGTAGGGAGGGGCTCCTTCCCACATGGCCCCAGAAGAAATAAAATGAACCAGAACCATGACAGTGTAGGCAAAACTGTCTTCAGGCACCTACCATGCCTGGTCCTGAGCAACCTGCTAAAACACCCAGTGCCCCAACCACCCAGGCCCTTGTACTACTTCCTAGCATCACTTTCTAAAAGATCAATATGGTAGAAGATGATTGAAGTTGAGTTTCATCCATTATTTGAGTTTTAGACTTTATTTACAATGACTGAGACCCCAAGTATCTAAGACTATGAGAGTAAGCCATGTGCTGAGTGAATGAGTTTACTGCCCATGGGCCAGCATGGCTGGAGAATGCACCAATGGGGAGTCCTCATGGAAGAGGGGTACCAGAGCTGAGGCACAGAGGAAAAGCAAGGGCACAAACACAGAAGGATACTATGACATCCGATGCCGTATCAGTTAATCTTTAAATCCTAACTCTCCACAGGCCTGGATCTACACTGTTGGCCCAGCCAGGAGGAAGGGCTTGAGTCACACAGAGAATGGGCTTATGTGGATGGCTGGAAGTCTCAATGGCCAAGGCCCAAGAAATGCCACGAATCTATAAAGAGCCACTTGTAGTTTTCCAAATAAGAGTTCCTGAAATGATGGTGTTAGCTTTTGATGGATAGATATGAAAGTTTTTTTAAGTGTTAAATCAACTATGTCTTAGTTAAGAAAAGGAGAAGTTTGCCTTTATGACAAATAGCAAGTTGTCTTGTCAGATCTGAGTGTTGGCAGTTTGGGATTTTTCTGGTATCTGGTGGTGCTTCCAGAGATATTACGTGTTGGTAATATTCTATTGAGCAAATACTTTCTGGATGAAAGTATTTCTCCTCAGTACTACAATGTTAAAAAACATAAGCCTAACTGCTAAGTAAATTACCAACCCTAAAACATCTATATTTCAATTCAAGGTTGGGATTTTGGCAATAAATGTGATAGGAAATTGACTTAACTGATAAGGTATGGTAGGCATGTGTGTTCTAACATGCCTTTCTTAAATGAGTATTATGTGTTTACTTTTTAAAGAGTTAATACATATGGATTTGTATGAAAGGAAAAAAGAATGTGGTAAGAAATACACACCTCTTTCCTCTTGCTTTGATTTTAAAACATGATGCAGTAGGGAGAGGCACAGAGCAGTGGACAGTACATACCATAGTAACTTAACAGGAGACTAAAGTGGAACAAAGAATATTAAATGAGTTTTAATTCATAGTTGAGAAAATAAATGAAAACTTGACAGAAGCCATAACTCAGTGTGTAGAGAAGACATTTAGGGGAATCAAAAGTTAATAAACTCAGTACCTAGTACTAGTTTGCCATATATTTATAGTGAATGCTTACAATTACTGTGCAAAGCAGGTAGGCTTAACTATCCCAATTTACCAATGAAGCTGAGATTAAGTAATTTTCTTGGGTGTGAGTCCCAGCTCCACCTCTTACTAGCTGGGGAATGTTAAGTACATTTATTAGAAGTTTTGAGCCTCCTTTTCCTCAATCTATAAAATAGGCATAAGCAATGTCATGAGCAGGTAAGTTACTTAGCATGGTGTTGGGAACATGTAAGAGCTTAATTCTCTTACTATTATTAAGTTGTATACTTGAACCAATCAGATCTATGCTGGAAAACAGCAAATCAGAGGGAGCTCCACTCTAGTTTCTTATATTCTCATTCTCAAGATCTAATTCTAAGCTAAAGCATCTCAGCCTTCATCCCACATGACTGAGGTTTTATTTCTTAGGAAGGAAGATGGGGCCCAAGAATCTCGTCTGCCAATGTAAGCGATTACACCATTAATGTTTTACTCATTCTCCATGAATTGTGATCAAGGTGCAAAGACATCTACTTATATTACTGGGAAAAGAGAGCGAGTGAGCCTTTATTTCCATTTCTTATCTATGATTACCCAATTCTATGATTGTGTGAGCCTCACATCCTCTCCGTTCACTCCATAGTCCCAGGAAATACTATTTATAAGCGTTTATAGCCATCTATAGGGTGCTTCACTATATTTTTCCCTCTCAGTAAACACCATTAACATATGGCTTACCCAGATAGAGGGAGAAACTTTTCTAGGGTTTACACATTTTAAAAGCCAGATTAAGGAGAAGGTCAACTGGCATCTGGCAGAGGCATCAGTCTATAAGGGGTACCAGAACATTTTTGGAAATACAATACTGTTCACTAGAACTTGCCTACCCCAGGGAGAGTACTGTTTACGAAGGGAATACTTTGACAGACTGCCAAGGGTGAACACTAAGGCCTGCAGGAGCATTTTGGAGTAATACCAGACGTTCACTGAACTACCAAGTGTGGGTTCAGTGACTTGATCATGTGTTAGCTTGCTTTGGGGGTGTAAAGGACAGAGGCCTGAGCTGGGTAATGCTACCAACATCTCTCCTTCTTCACCTTTTCTCCATGCAAAGCTCAACCTCACCTATAAAGAAGTGATGAAGAAATATTTGGAGATAAATTTAAAGGGTATCCAGGTATTCATAGGTCTTGGCTTATAAACTATTTCTAAATATTGCCTGGAATAATGCACATAGACCTTACTGCATCTTGATGTTGGATGTTACATTTTAATTCTCTACACTAGAGGTTATTTATTGGAGCTCTTCCCTTTCTGGAAGAGGAAGATATGCCTGATTTCATTACAAGAACACAGATTTAGTCCTCATGGTGGAATTTACTGGCCCCACATCTTGCTAGTGCCCAGTTCACCAATATACATAACTGAGTCAAACACAACTCTCAGCTATTAATTAAAATATAAAAAAGCACATGCCAGCCATAATGTGTGTGTGGTGGAAAGCTGACTCACTTATATAGAGCTGTTCCGTTGTGGCTTCATCTGTCTTGCCACGTTGTGGAGTATTTATTGATGCATGTGCAGATAATGACATGTCAGTAGCATGGATGGGTTTGCTTGAGTAGTTAGCCATTAACTGTCAATGTGTTGATTACAGTTTACTCCATAGCAAAATTCCATACTTTTGTTATTTTTCTTGTGCCATGTCATAAAGACACAAATAGAACCAGAACCAGAAGTTGTATTCAACTTCACCTGTATATCAGATAGGGATGAACTCAACTGCAGTGTGACCTATGTGCCTTGTTATTTCAAATATTGAAACTGATACTAAATATTTTTAATGTGAAAAGGATACACTTGTTATCATGTAGAGACAAAGGAGTGATTTGATCATAGCAAAACCTTGAGGACATGTGAGTTTGTGTGACTTTAGAAGCTCCGGATATAAACATTTTATCAAGTGGCAAATTCATATGCTAAGGAAAAGAAGCCCCTGTAATGGGTGAATTTTGGGGCATTGGAAAATTTTTAATTAAATTGAAAGGAGATGTACCAAAGAAGCTTCAATATGTTTTGTCTAATGATGAGATCTGTTTTAAAATTTATATGAAAAGCCAAAGTATGTGGAAGTTATAAAAAATGCAAAACCTATTCCTCTTGAAGTAGGTACCCAGTTTGTGGAACCCAAGTGATACTAATGACTGTAGTCGGCTGTTGTTATTTTTGCAGTATCTAAGGGAGAGAGCATAGATGAATTCCTCTTTTGTGAGCTGTTTCAGTTAACTGTGAAAGGAATCAATGTATTCAATCTCATCCAAGATCTCTTTTTGAACCATTAGCTAACAGTTCATATGTGTGGATCAATTTGTACTGATGATACCCCCTGCTATGCTTGGTAAAACGTCAAGCTTTGCTACCTAAATTAAAAAAAAAAAAAAAGGAGTAGCTATTCATATAATGCACTATCATGCACTTGCTGCAAAAAGTGTGTCTACAAAAATGAAGAATGTTCTGTCTTCCTTATATAGTAACAAAAACTCTACCAAGATTTAAAAAAAAAAGCCAAGTCTTTGGTTTCTTCCATGATTTTTGTAAAGGGATTGGCAGCTGGCACATCATTCATTTCTATATAGAAATGATGTGACTTCTCACAGCAACATATTTATTTTATAACAGGATAAAGGTATGAAAATTTAATAACATGTCTGAGAGGGTGGTCTTCCCCTAGTTGGCCTCGCCTTCTAATTGAAGGTGGAGGCATATATTAGATGAGAGTGGGAAGTCCAGTAAGAAAGAATGCAAAAAACGTTATTCAGATTCTGGCATAAGAAATAAGATTATGCAGAAAAAGTGTATATAGACAGACAGATATACAGATAGATAAACTTCCAAGTCAGGGTTCTCGGACAGCTGGCGGCAGTGGTGGTGACTGGTACGGATGGTTTCCACCCGCGTTAGCCCTTCCGACTTCGCCCTTGGATTAACTTTACAAAAGGAAAGCTATTTTGTGACAGTCCTCTCCGCTAGAAATGGCCAATGTACTTTGTAACAGAGCCAGACTGGTTTCCTATCTCTCAGGGTTTTGCTCTTTAGTTAAAAGGGTTGTCAATCCCAAAGCCTTTTCAACTGCAGGATCATCAGGTTCTGATGAGTCTCATGTGGCCACTGCACCTCCAGATATATGCTCTCGAACAGTGTGGCCTGATGAAACTATGGGACCATTTGGACCTCAGGATCAGGGATTCCAGCTTCCAGGAAACATGGGTTTTGATTGTCACCTCAATGGGACTGCTTCACAGAAGAAAAGCCTGATTTATAAAACTTTGCCTGATGTTCTAGCAGAACCTTTGTCAAGTGAAAGACATGAGTTTGTTATGGCACAGTATGTGAACGAATTTCAGGGTAATGATGCACCTGCTGAACAAGAAATTAACAGTGCAGAAATTTACTTTGAAAGTGCCAGAGTGTGCAATCCAAACATGTCCAGAATTGCTGTGAAGAGATTTCGAATCACTATTTCCAGAAGTAGCTAATAGCAAACTAATGATTCTGACTGTAACACAGAAAACTAAGAATGATATGACTGTTTGGAGTGAAGAGGTAGAAACTGAAAGAGAAATGCTCTTAGAAAAGTTCATCAGTGGTGCTAAGGAAATTTGCTATGCTCTTCGAGCTGAAGGATATTGGGCAGACTTTATTGACCCATCATCTGGTTTGGCATTTTTTGGACCATATACAAACAACACTCTTTTTGAAACAGATGAACGCTACCGACATCTAGGATTCTCTGTCGATGATCTTGGATGCTGTAAAGTGATTCATCATAGTCTCTGGGGTACCCATGTGTTTGTAGGAAGCATCTTCACTAATGCAACACCAGACAGCCATATTATGAAGAAATTAAGTGGAAACTAGCAGTAATGTCAATTTGTTTGCTATACTATTTGTATGTAACATTTGGGTTGATCTATAAACACTGTCAAAGACTTCAATTTTTAAAAGATACTTATTTCTAAGTATTTATTTCAACATTTATGAATTTACAACATTCTCAAGTGATTTGTGATTTTTAAATTGCAAATGCTCATTATTTCTAATATCTTTGAATACATGTTGAGCACATCCACATCACATAGAATGTAGTAATTAGCATGTAACCAGGGTATGATCTCTTATTGTTCTTTCTCCCCTCTATTGGGAAAAACCTCAGTTTTAATTGTTTTTCTCCAAAAATAAATAACACATTTGGTTATTGAAAAAAAAAAAAAAAGAAAAAAGAAACTTGCAAGTCAGGCTACTGCCTTGAGAGAAGATTTTCCAAATATTCTTCTCTGTCCTATTTAACATACCACAGTCCCGGCCTGGAAGATCCAATTAAGGGAATTCTCCCATGAGCTAGAGAAGAAACCTTTGCTACCTATGATAGCAAAGCTCCAAGAACCACTGCTACGTGGCAGAAGATATAACATCACAAAAATGGAAGACAATCCACCCATTTTTCTTCCCAGGGAATGGTGGGAAGAAGGAAGCAGAATGGGAGAGGAGGACTAGAAAAGCAAAGTACAGAGATGATGTATGTTTCAAGCCCCCCTTCAACCCTCCCCCAGCTTAGATGAGTGAGGAAAACTCAGAAGTAGAGGTGGGCAGGGCAGCTCGTGCCCCCACTGTCCACATGGGACTCGGAGGGATTGTCACACAGGCTGTTCTGCACCGATGTGCAGAGAATCCACATCATGTTGTAGTACAATAGATCGGGAGAAGGCTATGGTTTCCCCAATGGCCTTGGTTGCCATGTGGCATATATACAGGATCCTATAGACAGAGTCTGTGGCAGAGAGCATGCTGGTGGGCATTGCTGTCGTTGTAGTAGTAGAGAGTATGACACAGCAGGCCACCAGGCCTAGGAACCAGAACTGTCCCTGAGGAACCAGGATGAGGCTGAATCAGTCAAGGAGAGGCCAGATGTTAGAGTGGCCACAGTCTCTCCGATGAGCTCTTGTTCTAACCACATGAAGACCACAGAACGGAACTCAGGGACTGCTTTAATGATCCCTGACCACAGCACTGAAGAAGAGATCCAGAAGAATATGAACAAAGTTAACACTTGTGTGGAGAATGAAGGAGAGTGTGCAGATACTGCCTAACCTGTCTACACGGGGACTTCCTATGCACTGTACATGGTATAGCGGCCACAGAATTCAGCCCCAAGTACCAGCAAGTACCCCCTGGGTGCATTAGGTCCACCACCCCAAAGATCTCCAAGATCGAGGCTCTTCCCCTTCACCCAGGAATCAGGAAAACCACACTTGTCCCCCCATATCCACAGAAGCCATCTTGGAGAGGAATTGGGAGACAACCAAGATAAGAAATACAGAATGCTGGGATTTTTTCGTCTTTCTCTCCAAATCTGAATGTTATTTGAAGGGATTGTTTCCTTTATTACTTTGAACTAAGATTTTACTCAGAGCTAAAAGCTAGAGTGATTCCCTCCCTGCCCCCCACCACTACTAAACATCAGGAGAAGCCCTCAATATTTATAGATAAAAATAGAGGAGCATATCTCAATTGTAAATTAAATTTGTAACTCTGTTTGTTGTTTTTGAAAGCCATGAGAAATAAAAGCCTGCTTATTTACAACCAAAATAATAGTGTAGTTAACAACTAAAAAAACAGAAAGTATATCTAGTAGCTGTATTCAAACACAAAAATGAACAGTTAATTCATCCAAATATTGATCTAATATAATGAGAACATGGTATAGACAGAAATTATTTGCTTTCATAAGGAAATTTTAGTTAGGATAAAGCCCATTGAAATAACTTTCCTTTTCTTGAAGAAACAGTTTTAGAAAACAAAGAAATGACCATTGCAACTAATGTGACAACATATTTGCAACAACTGAATGATTCATTTTTATGGATGTTTTTCTATTAGAGATTTCATGTAGAAAAAGGAAAAACCAAAGCCGAGCATACTGGTTGGGTGCAGTAGCTCGCACCTGTATTCCTAGCACTTTGGGAGGCTAAGGTGGGAGGATCACTTGAGTCTAGGAGTTCAAGGCCGCCATGAGCTATGACGACACCATTACACTCTAGCCCAGGGAACAGAGCAAGACCCTGTCTAAAAAAATAAATAAATGAATAAACAAACTCAATTCCATTAACGATAGTCTTCTATATAAAATTTTATTTAATTATGACTCGATGACTGTATTTTAGCAAACAAAGGCTTGGGAATTCCTGGTGAACTTGACTAGCATATCCTACAAATGGCAAAGACAACAGTGGAAGTTATGTGATTTTATATTTTTCTCACTTTTATACTTCAAAATAAGTACTACAAATTGATGATGACATGAATATAGTTACTTCCAAGGAAAATATCCTTATTTCTTTAATATCATGGAACAAAAGCTACTGAAGAGTATATTGTTTTTATATGGCAATCATTTTAATGTGTTATCATTAATTCAGGATTGTAATAAACTAGGTTTTCATTCTATAGTTATAATTATGTAAACTAAGTGTTGTCTTCTCTCAGGTTTGTGATGCATAGTATAAAGACATAATCTGAGAGAAAAAAAGGATGCAAGTTGCCATAAGGATTCAAAATCTAAACTGAGTACAGCTTTCCAAAGATCTGATGCTTGTTGTTCCAATAGCAGCAACTCAGCACAAAGCCCACTGCCCTGATCTAAATGTAACTGAAACCTAATGCAGGCATTCATTTGCCTTTCATTTTAAACCATGTCTTATGGGTTTCGATAGACCATAATGTATGTTAAGGAGCAACTTGAAAAACTAGGGCATTGCATAATCACTCTTGATATAAAACAAATGTGGTGACTATGTCTAAATCATAAGAACACATGTTGAACATAAAATCATTTCAAGCAGGCATTCTTCCCATGTTATGTGATCTTGAAGGCTCAGCATGTCTACATCCAACATGTTAACTCAGTATCGTCTCACCTTCCCTCCAGTGTTCTTCAGTTGGCAGTTTCTGTATATCCATTTGCCAACAGCAGCTCCCTTCCCTTCTTTGGTGGCAGTCAGTCTTATCTGAAGGTGTTGGAGCGGGTACCTGGTATCTGAGCCTCACTCCCTCCCTCCCTCCCATCACTCTCGTCCAGTTACCTCATCTTCTCACGTTCCAGCAGGGCACCAATTAGTTTTCAAGGTCTCCACGATGAGAGGATGTAGGTAGTGTGGAAAGCCCTTACATATATAGCATTTTATTAAAGTGTACATTGGTTAGAATTGGGAATTAGAAAGATTGTCTAGAGTCAAAGGTGGTTTTGCTACAAGGTGTCTGCTTCTCCCAAAAAGAAGGTCTGTCTCACACAGGCTGATCCCCAGGTCCCGTGGGGTTCACTGTGGTGTGTGAGGTTGCTTCTTGGGAACAGAGACATCTGGAATTCTCTGCAGCGGCTGCAGATGGCTGTGAGGTTTTCCTCTGCTGAATTGATGCTTCTGTCTCTCTGTGTGTCTGGGTGAGTCTGGCTGCTCAGCCACCCACGCCCTCCCACTCCCAGCAAGTGCTCAAAGTAGATTCAGTACTGGATATGTATACTCTTCACGATCACGTCAATAAGTCAACGAAGTACTGCAGCATGTTTACTAACACTACAAAGACAAGTCCCTCATATAACCCTTTTCCAATCTCCACATTGCCTTGTTCCTGCCAGTCTCAGAGACCCTGCACTTACACCTGCCTGTTTTTAAGCAGGACTCTACCTCTTTGGTCCAGTCATGTATCCTTGAATCACCTGAGGTCATGGCCCTCGGTTCACAACCAAAGACCTACCCAAGTGCCTGTCTCCTTGGGAGGAAATCCTGACAAAGTCACAATTTTATGGATATAAAGCTTTATAGATATAAAAATGTCTGGCATTTAATGATACTTAGGAGAAAACATACATGAATTTATTTCTGAGTAAGTTTTGGTTAACAAAAGAATTTTGGATCAGGAGCAACTCCTGTCAGGGGTACTTAAAAAAAGGAAGAAGAAAAAAAAAGACTAGACATAGACAAGAGGAGGCAGAGGGAGTTGCCAGAAAAAGAATAGAGCTGTGTGCAATAAAATACTGGAAAGGTAAAAGAAGATAAGGAAAAGTAGCCTCGGGCCTAAGAACCAGGCCTGCGAGGATGTACGAGCAGGGAGAGGTGCAGAGGAGATGAGAAGCTGGGAGGGGAGACAAAGTCCACAACCCCAGAGTCACAGGTTCAGAGAAATAATTGTAGCAAATACCACTAGTTATCTACAGGATTCCATTTTCTCCTTCTGAACTAACAAAATACCTATTTACTTAGGTAGGATAGTAATGTCGTCAGTTCAAATACTCCCCTTCCTAGCCTTCCCTGCAGCTAAGGGTCTGATGTGACACCAATGAGATGCAGGCAAATATTGCTAGAGCCTTTCCTTCCCCAGTAAGTGACAAAACCCCAGGAAGACAATGTTGCTATCCCTCCTCCGCTCTTTCTCCTCCTTCCTGCCTGGTGAGTGGTCAGTGAGATAGCAGCTATCTTGCAACCATGAGGAAGAAAACTACATGACTTAGGAGGAGCTGAAAGAGGGAAGGAGCATGATTCCTGATGAAAGCCTTGAGCCACGACATTTTTTGCTATTTGAAACAGAGTGCATTTATAACAGTATGGTACAGCTGGGAAGAAACCCACCTAGCTGAAAAAAGATACTCTTGAAAATATTATCTGTGACAAAATAAAGCTAGATTAGACCCATCTTACTGAAAGGGTGAGGGAGGGATTGCCAGTTATATTTCCAGTGAATGGGGAATGAAAAATGGAAATTAACTATAAATTACTCATCCATATCCATGTAAAATGAGTAAAACAATATGTCATTTCTATTTCAGGTTCTTCCTTTGTTGTTGTATTTTACTAAACCTTACGAGATTTTTAAATTTACATACAACCAGAGTCTGCCAAATGTATTTTTTATTTGATATATGGTTTTAATTTATTCAGCCTCAAATAGTGCTTCCTTGGGTGTCTTCAGGAACCTACA